ACCTAATGCTCTTGGTGTCCACACTCCCATTAAGCGCAGCTCTGTCCCCTCCTCCCATTCCTCCCTACCTATACCCGGCTATACCTAATGCTCTTGGTGTCCACACTCCCATTAAGCGCAGCTCTGTCCCCTCCTCCCATTCCTCCCTACCTATACCTGGCTATACCTAATGCTCTTGGTGTTCACGTTCCCATTAAGCGCAGCTCTGTCCCCTCCTCCCATTCCTCCCTACCTATACCTGGCTCTACCTAATGCTCTTGGTGTCCACACTCCCATTAAGCGCAGCTCTGTCCCCTCCTCCCATTCCTCCCTACCTATACCTGGCTATACCTAATGCTCTTGGTGTCCACACTCCCATTAAGCGCAGCTCTGACCCCTCCTCCCATTCCTCTTATTGGTTTACTCCACACCTTCCAGCCCTGAAGGTAACTCACCCCCTCTATAATTTTCACTGGCAACGTGTCGCTTTCCATATAGAGTATAATGATGATTTTTAAGGCCATGCGTGATCTTGCTCCCCAGGATACCACAGAACTCCCCCTCCATTATATACCTGCCCATTCCCTCAGGTCTGCAGGTATTGGTCTCCTAGTGGTGCCTCGCCTTTGCTCTTCTGTGGGCGGCAGGGCCTTCAGTTTTTCAGCTCCAAAACTTCGGAACTCGCCACCACAAATCAGAAATCAGTACCTATTCTCCATCTCTCTTTTTAGGCAGAACTTAAAAACATCTTTTTATTCAGTGGTTTACTTCTCATACTTATTCCTGATCTGTTGGAGTTTCAGTTCAGCCTTCAGTTTTTTTGAACTTATGGTATATGACCTATGTTGGTATATTCTCTCCGTGGCATTTGTACCATGGTAGTGTACTTGGCCCCATTATTGCTGCTCGCAGTTATATTGAATTTATTTATTAGTTCACTCATTGAAAATTAGAATGTACATATACCCATGAATGATGATGGTTGTGGTTTACTAATAAACTTGACAGACAAGGGGGAGAAAAAAGAGAACTGTTTTGGGGGGGGGGTTGAGGTGGGGGAAGACCTATTTCAGAACTTCAACCATTAGAAATATTTTAAGGAAATATGAACGCATTTTTTGCTTGTACACAATATATGACGCTAACAAATGAAAAGAATTACAAGGACAGATACCAGGTCAACGTGTGTGTGCGAGTTTGGGGGGGGGGGGGGTTGGGGGGGGTTGTTAGGATAAATATGCCAGTCCCTGGGGGGCCTTGTCAAAATAAAGGTTGGATGCCACTGTGAGAAGGGAACATAATCTGCATCTTAGTCACTGGCCTGATGTGTTCAAATGGTTCACTGATCACTAATGAATCTGGACTTATCTATGAAGGGAAAAGAAAGGTCTCGTCTCCGCACTGTTTTCTTCATGTAGTTTACCTATCACTGAACAAATATAAACTCATTTGTTAAAACAAGGAAATTGTTTCAATAGTTTCAATGCACTGATCTGTTCCTTCAATTCCTTATGTTATCTTGCTTGAGTGTTCGCTGCAGAGACATGACTCTTATACAGGGGTCCTTCTGTAGGGGGCTAATGAGTTCTAAAACCCATGGGTCTCCACTGAAATGGGACCGGAACTGAACCCCATCAGCAACTCTTATACAAACTGAAATAAAACAAGTTTCTTTTATAACATGGAAAGAGTATGCAACAGTGCATGTCTGGCATCATATTACCTAGCTGTTTGGTGATGGCATAGTGGAATTGCTTTTAATAAATGCTTTTAATAGTTAACTGTTTCATCCTATGAAACAGAGCAGTATTTAATGTCCCTTGTAAAAAGAATTTTTCTCTGCTGTTATAACTGCTAGAGGAGGTTACTTTGGTGAATCAAAGATATATTTTCCTGCTAATAAAGGTGAACATACTGTAAATGTATTTGTTAGCAAAGAAATATTGAGTGCATTCTTAATAAATGTTAAGTGAGTAACATGCACATGTACAAAATCTCAGTGTGTGCAAAAATTTTTGACTCATAGTCTGAGTGTAAAACTGCCCAACAATGCAGAGCTAAGTTTGAACAGGAAACCAGCGTGTTTCCTCTATGTTCACTGGACTATGTCTTCCGATGGTTGCAGACACAGACATCCACTAGCAGATGGATAAGAAACAAAATTGCATTTAAAAGTTTGCCTTAAATATAGTTACCAAATAACCAACATCCATATCAGGTCGATATCACATCTGTTCATCCAGAACCCTTTCTGAATTTATCTGGGATGTGCAAAGCTGCCTCATTTTCTGAATATCCGCAGACCTTTAAGCCAGGAGTGTAATACAAATGTATTAATTACATCCGCAGACGTACAATCCAGACTATTAAAGGAAAACTTTACTTGGTTAAGAGTTTTGGCCCTAAGTTATCAACAATTTAATGTAATGAACAATGAGTTAGAGCTAACAGGCATGTTTTGCACATGTCACCTGTCATAAGTAACTGTCCATTCAAACCTGCAGCAATTTTATCAGTCAGGGTTGCTTTTGCTGCTTCTGATTTGTCACTGGAGAGCATTGAATTGTGGTGTCATTCGAACTACGTTCTAAATGAAAATGATCACCCAAACTATTTTGACTCAAACAGTATACAGCACCCTGTTTTGTGGAGATCAAATATGAATATATGTGTATCTGCATCAATGAAGTATTCCTAGCAATTCTTGATTCATTTAAAATTTTCCATTTCATCTGCTGCTCCCTCTAGTGGTTAGCTGAGCTTTATATATACCTCACAGTTTGACACTGCAGAATATTATTGTCTCACATTTCCAGGGCTGGGAGATTGATTCACCCCTTCAATCTGTGTGTGGACTTGGCTTCCCTGAGCTGTGCAGGTTGTCTTCCGACGGCCAAAACACATCAGCTTAAGCTGATCTGTGTCTCTGAATTGCCCACAAGGTATGATTGTGTATGTGCCTGAAATGGACTTGCATCCTCTCCAAGGTGTGCCCTTGCCTGCTGGAATAGACTCCAGGTCCCACTGCAACCTTGAGCAGGGTAAGCGGCCCACATTTTTGCTCCCTCCCTGGATGGGAGCAACAACATGGACTGTCTGGGGGTTCCCAAGCACCAGGCTGAGAAAAACTGGCCAGACTGCCATATGGTGGTGCTCTTTGGCATAGCTATTGTGTCCGGAGGAGTACACATTTCTCTTAGGTTTAACTTTTCAGTATTTCCTGTATTTTTCACGTTTGTTAGAAACAGCTGGAATTCAGCAGCAGTAAATTAGTTTGAAGGAACAGGCCTCAAAAACACCCATGAGGTGGAGTCTGATGGAAGACAACTGATAGAGGCCCCTGGCTGCTTATCCCATTCAGGGTCACAGAGGGGACTTTGAGCCTGTTCCACGCAGAACAGGGTAAAAGGACAGAGTACACTCTGTGTGGGATGCCAGTTCATTACAGGGCACATAGATGGACAATTTAGAGATGCTAATTAGCTTAACTGCATGTCTTAAAAACTGCAGGAGGAAACTAGAGAGGAAATCCACACAACACGGGGAGAAAATACAAGACTGTAAATGTATAAATGTTAAGTAATGCATATATATAAGGTAGTAACTGTAAAATTGATGCAGGACTTTCACTCTTCCGAAAGTTAAAAGGTACGTCACCTGAAGTGAGACTAGCTGTTAAAGCTCCTGCGCTGGGGTTCATGGGAGTGGTCAGAGACAGCTCAGAGTCATGCTTGTTTCCTATATGTTTGGGGACACGTTCAGAAGCCCTTAAGGGCGGTTTTGCAAGAGACTGTAACAATGTGGATCATATCGAATCTCACAAGGTAAAGGTAAGCAAGCATCTGGGTCTGACTGGTGGGGGTTGTTTGCAAAAAACAATAAAGCTGCATGGGTGAGCCACCTAGCGTGTTACTTTAGGTATAAATTCTCAGCTGTTAAACAAACGAAGCATGCCAATTAACACAACTTATGATTTTATTTGCACCATGTTTAAACTCATTACATTTAATATAAAACGTATATGAGTTCTTTTTAAGAAAATTTAGCTTACCAAGGAGTGCTGTGTACTAACCAACACAAAGGTTGTTGGTTCAAATCCCAAGGATTGCATGTAAATTACAGTCCTTTCCTCTAGTGTAAGTTGCTTTGGTATCAGAAAAACTAAGTAAATGTAAGGCAAATACAGGAGGAGACCTTTGACTGAGATCCATTCCCAGGGAAAGGGGATTGCCTGCTTTTAAAAAACGTTTTTCCATTTCATTCGTGTTTTTTTTGTAGCACAAACAGCCAACCCTCACCCAAACACACACACACTCAGAATCGATAAGAAGGACCTTTTAGTCAATCATCTCTAATCAAACTTGAGTATCGTCAGTTTATGATAAATTTTACTCTTTATGACATACTATACATATGCTAAAAAGTCCATTTTATTCCCATGCCTTGCATTTGATCCCAGTTAACTTTCCCTGCGTGTCAGTGTAACTTTGTTACCAGGCAATCACCCAGCCTCATGCAGCAAGAACTGGTTTGGCATGTGTGAAACGCCCCTTTGGAAAATCTGGTTAGTTGTTATTTAACGTACGTGTCTACTGAGAAAATCCACCTCTGAAATCTCACTGTCCGTACACTCCTTCGGAAATTATTTCACGTCACATGATGGCTTTTCGAGCATAAACAAAATCGTGTTTCAGAAAGGTAGCAGAAACGTTTCCAAATTCATATTAACTAAAAATAACGAATATAGAAATTTCAAACAGCCGAGATCGTACGAAGCTTGAAAATGCGCGACGTGATTTTTTACGTAGACTATAGTGAAATACGTGTAACGTTTAACTCAGGCCCACATAATGCGAAAATAATTAAAAAGCTGTAAAATGTAACTATTTGTTTTCGGGACAACAATCAGGGAGTTATGTTCAATAAAAAACACGCTGTTGCACCGACACACTTTCACCGATATACTAGCTGTTACCACCCACTTGAACCGGAACCGTTTCTGCCACAGACCGACCGCTGTTGGCCGGGCCGAGCTGAGCTGACCGGCCGCTCCGCTCCGCTACCGGCGCAGCGCTACCCCCGGGCGCATGTGGGCTAAGCGACGCGTCGCTCCACCGGCGATCCGCCGTGCCTGAGAGGTGCCGGGGGGGAGCGAAGAGCCGACACACAGAAACCCCGCAGGCTCACCTTTCCTCCCCCTACACCCGCCCGCCCACCGGTTTCTGGACAGTTTTCCCATTACTGGAGCTGCAGACCAACCTCGAACCAAGCTGAGGCGCGTCGCCGCTCCCCCTTGGCCACCCCTGCCCCACGGCTTACCGTCCCAGCCCGGAGAAGACAGAGCCGGAGTCGTCCTGAAAAGGAAAGAGAAATATGGGCAACGCGACATCCTGCTGTGTGTCGGCGAGCCCCAAGCTGAGGAGAAAGGCGCACTCCCGTCTGGAGCCGTACCAGCCCGACGCGGAGCTGAGCCGGGAGGACACGGGCTGCAACCTGCAGCACATCAGCGACAGAGAGAATATCGACGGTAAAGGCGTCGGCTGCAGGGATACCGGGGGAACCGGACTGGGGATATGGAGAGGCAGGGGGCCGGGGCTGGGGTCGAGGGGCAGTTGCGCTTCAAAAACCGTTACTTCGCATGTGCTACTACTACTGTTTAAATATATTATTATTATTATTATTATTATTATTATTATTATTATATATGCATCGTTTATAGATCATACATAATTATCGTTTTTATACTGCGTTATTTTGTATATTTACTGCTGTTACCATGATTTTCATTATTGTTATTATTAAATCAACACGGGACGATATTAACCAATTACACATAGCCTGTTTAAGTAAAAGCTGCTGTCATGACATAGGGAGCGCTTGATAAGGGTGAGGATCGTGCCACATAATACTAATACATACATACATACATAAGTACTAATATGATCCTTTTACATTTCTGTGACTGGACGAAATGCGGCGTTCCAGATGAGATGTTGCAGGTTTATGAATAATATATCTGCCCACGTTAATCATCACGACAAGGTGTAACTGTCGTGATCAGCGCAGTTGTCCGGTCCGCTTCGCTTTTGCTGAAGGTTTTTATTGAAGAGATACAGCCGTTTTAGGTCTGAGACTGGCACTGTGGGGTAAATACTCCCAAATCCATTAAGTCCCTTATTCCGAGTACCTGGGGTAGTGAATGATTAATCCAGCGAGTTTGAATCCATGATATTGTAGTGAGTTGTTCATAGATGAGTGACTGGCCCATCATTGTGTTTTTGTCAATGTGATTTCTGATCAGGCTAGAATAGGTTTTGACATGAAAGCCTGCAATGGGGTTAACAACTACTCAAACCACACCTTTGTGTGCCCTCCCCTGAACATTTTTGGGCCCACTGTTGGCCACAAATAGTCACTACACTAGGGGGAGGGTGCGGGCCCCCAAAGTGAGTTGGTGAACAGGGTCCCAGAAACAAAAAATGCAACCCTGGTCAATACACTGGACTAGCATTGAGTTTTGAATGAAACGCGGATCCCGTGTGGGTAGGTCTGAAAGCTGCCCTCCTCCAAGGTGTCGTGTAGGATCTCGTCACTCCCCACTGCCAGCTGTGTCCAGATGCCAATCCAGAGGTGGGACTGCCCATCCAGGCGGATGTCCTGGGGGATGTCATGAACCCATCAGAAAAGGACTTGACTGTGGCCCTGACCATCCATGGGGTCAAACATGGGTGGTGGCTGTGGAAGTTTCTGGAGTCTTTTTGCCTGTAAATGTCCATGTGTTTGTCCTCTAATGTGCTATGGAGGGCTACAGAGCGGGCGCTGGGTGGGGTTTTGACCCCCCGACCGCCTTGTCCTGCCTGGGAAGGATCTGTCGGCTGCTACCGTTGGCGCCCAGGCGTAGGGGCCTGTGTGAGAGGGTGCCAGCCTTCAGCAGGTTCGCCGGAGCTGCTGTCCGGGGCCCGGGGGGGGGGGAGGGGGGAGATGCGATAGCACATGTGCTGAATCACTGGCTGGAATTAACACCAGCATTGTTACTGTGAGACTGTCAGCCTCAATAAGAGGAACCATTATTCAGAATGAAAGACGGTTTTCCATCCTGCGCTCCCTCGGCATATTAGCGATGGGGGTTATAAAACAGGGATCCTGAGCTTCATTACCCTGCATTTATATTAGAGAGATGGGGCTAATTTCCCCCATCTGTAGTAAAAAGAAATTGTGCCACTATGAAAATAGTGTCTCGTGTTTAATGCTGCAGTCTGCCTTCACTGTCACTTCCTAACAAGGTTAATTGATAGGAAATTAGTTCCCCCTTCATAATTTGTAGACCCTAAAAGCGTGACAGTTTATGGTTAGGATAATGGTCACGTCCTCACAGAATTAGCAGTGCTGCTTAGGTGTTTCTTGGTTGGGCTTGTTGAAGATGTTACTCTATTTTGAGAGCTTTATGAATGATCGGGAGATTGGTGACAGTCCCCTAGAGATGTTCCTTTAGTGGCCTTCATGTTCGTTCACAGACTCGTGCCCCCTGGCACCCGCTCTGGTGCTCTTGGTGCCATCGGATGCTCGTGTTCGGGCTCCTGGACTCGCCGTGGTGTTGGCTGCTACCTCGCAGATGCCGGCAGCCAATAAGAGGCCCTAGCCTCTCGGTGGATGGGGAGGATGTGTCACAGCTGCACTGGGAATAATGGGGAACACCTTATAAGGCTTTCTTCAGGCGGGACACTGAATAGGACCATGTGACCAAGGAAGTGACAGCGTCCCTGTTTGGGTACAGGAGTTCAGATGAGTTCAACAAAACAGTCAGGTGGAATGAAAACAGAGGAAGGACCTTACAGTGTCTGATCGCGGGTGTGGCCTCTACAGGGAGTGGTCTGAGGCATTAGGGTCTGGTGGGATTTCCTGCGAGAAACAGGGGAAATTATATGTTGGGTAATAAAGCAGAGGTGTGATTGGACTCTCTACCCAACTCACTGCCTCCCTCTGTGACTTTTTCAGAGCATAATAATGTGATGTGACGTTTGTGATGCATAAATCGTTTACCATTTCGTGACAGGCACAATGCGAGCTCTGAGTGAGCCAGAGAAGTGCGCCACCTCCGTTCCTGAAACTGGCCCGCGATCCGGCTCTATTGATCATACTGTGTGACTGAAGGAAGATGTTTGTTTTGTGTCACCTGAAAGAACCAGAGTTGTGGTAGTGAAGCGTTTGTGGCCACTGTGTGCTGACAGATCTGTGGCCGTCTTCTGGCACATGTGCGCGTGTAAAATTAGACGATCGCGGGACAGGCAGCCGGGGAGCTGTCTCCTAAATAACCACCTTTCCTGCCTAAATAAATGGCAGGCTGGGAGGAAATGGCAGTGTGAATCGAGGACACTGGCGTGTTTTTGCAAATAAGCACCCAAATCAGTGATGCTGTGTAGTTCACTGGGTAAGGACACACCGCCTGCGAACAGAAGGTTGCCTGTTCAAATCCCAGGGCTGGGAGAGGGTGCTTCCCCAGGACTGCTGTTTCTGTTTCACGTATGCTTTAGCTCAGCCCTGCTTGGAAGAAGTGTCCAGTCCTGTGCATGGACATCATGGTGGTCTCTGGCCCTGTCCTTCTTTGGTCTACCACTGGGAGGACACACGGCGCCGGTAAAGTTGCCGCATCGTTTCCTGTTTGTGCCTAATTTTTATTTAGAGCCACAGGCTCTTACTGCCATCAGTTCAAGAATTAGCTGATGGCATGAGGGCATCATAAGGACTTCTCTTGTTCAAATCATAGGATCAGAACTCCCTCAGGCAGGCAGCAGATCTGTCATCCGGGTTAGTTGGAATGTTTCAAAGCTACATAAACAGTTGAGTGATCAAACACTGATTGCACTGTCTGCTTTATGTATAATGCAGATCCCTTCTTTATGATTTCAAACTGAGCTTGAAGACCAGGCCCCATGTTCACTGTAGACTGGTTATCCCTGTTGCCAAAGTGCTGTCAGACCTCAGATCTCCTGCCAGTTTGTGCTTATTGGACCGTGCCACTGTTTCTCCAGTGAAGAACTACAGCAAATTAGGTACAAAAAAAACACTAATTGCTGAAGTGGGATTGGTGCCAAACCTCAGCTGTTAAGTGCAGTTTTGAAGGATGTTTTACAGGATCAGTTACCTAAGAACACATTTCAAGGCATTGCCTCCCAGTACTAAACTCAACTGGAGTTACACAGATTTGTCTGTCATCTGATCCAGGGTCAGTGTGCAGGATTCTTGATCTTGTTGATGAGTCCTGGATAATGTATTATGGTAGCAGAATCTGGTTTGGGTTTTGACGTGACCCAGTTTCAGTCTGCTTAAGATACCTCCTGTACTGTTTTTCCGATTTGGTCTTCCACCAATCATATGCTTTACTTAGAGTTACCCACCATGCTTTGTGTCTCTTGGTCTCATTACAGGTAAGTCTCAGAACTCCTAACCCTCTCTCTCTTTTTGAACTATTCAGTGGCTCTACCCTTAACAGATGCTAACATGGGCTTTGCAGTGCTGAGCTAATGGAGAAGCAAGGTGGCTTTTCCGTTTGAAACACAGACCTTTTATTTCCTACCTTCAGTTTATGGACGGGAGTGGGGACCTGCCTTTGAAGCTCGACGGGGCAGGCAGTGTTGGAGCTGACCCTCATTTAAGGCAGTATCTGGTTGGGCTTCAGGCAAACAGGACCACCACAGACCTGAATGAATAAACAACCTCATTTAAAGGTTGTTAATCCTGTTTTGTGGACCGAGCGGTATCTGTCTGGGAGGTCTTTTTGGTGTGTGACCACTGTGGCCTTGGGGGGGGAGCTGTCATGGATTGGACATCGGTAATGATAGAGATTCTCATCCCTGATGAGGTTCAGCCAAAGGTGCGAGACACATGTCCCTGAACCCTGACTGGGGTCTGGGTGGATGGCCGTGTTTATTGTGGGTAACCCTGTCACACAGGCTTTTGAAAGCGTGGTATGCCAGCCCACCACGGCAGGCATTTCATATTTAATGAACCACGCGACTCTTGAAGTTAAACACTAACAGCGTGTACAGTCCTGCTCTTTCATCTTACTGCAGCTTTGTTAGGTACAGACAAAGCATCCACTTTTCTCCTAATAAATTGCCCTTTTTTCCTTAATTGGCATTAGATATTATGATTATTTACCCATTGATCTGTTGTGTTTCCTGATTACCTTACATCATTGTGAATCTTTTCTTTTATCTTTTTCTACTATTAAACCTTTGGAAATGAACTGAACCAAATGCTCACCACTCACAGGGGTGTCTGCTCAGCATCCAGGTAATGAGCACTCCCTCCTGATTTGGGATGCCTTGTCTCTAATACATTTTGTTCACCAGGAGTATGACCCCGAGGGGTCCCCTGCTTGACAGGTCTCCCCCACACCTCCATGGTGACTTCTGGCACATCATATTCAGTTCCCTCCCCCTACCCGGCATTTGAAGTGGCTCCTTTAATCATTTGTTTGTAGGCTATTGTTGCTACACAGGGGAAACAAGAATGAAGGCAGATTAC